ACTTACTTACTTACTTACTTACTTACTTACTTACTTACTTACTTACTTACTTACTTACTTACTTACTTACTTACTTACTTACTTACTTACTTACTTACTTACTTACTTACTTACTTACTTACTTACTTACTTACTTACTTACTTACTTACTTACTTACTTACTTACTTACTTACTTACTTACTTACTTACTTACTTACTTACTTACTTACTTACTTACTTACTTACTTACTTACTTACTTACTTACTTACTTACTTACTTACTTACTTACTTACTTACTTACTTACTTACTTACTTACTTACTTACTTACTTACTTACTTACTTACTTACTTACTTACTTACTTACTTACTTACTTACTTACTTACTTACTTACTTACTTACTTACTTACTTACTTACTTACTTACTTACTTACTTACTTACTTACTTACTTACTTACTTACTTACTTACTTACTTACTTACTTACTTACTTACTTACTTACTTACTTACTTACTTACTTACTTACTTACTTACTTACTTACTTACTTACTTACTTACTTACTTACTTACTTACTTACTTACTTACTTACTTACTTACTTACTTACTTACTTACTTACTTACTTACTTACTTACTTACTTACTTACTTACTTACTTACTTACTTACTTACTTACTTACTTACTTACTTACTTACTTACTTACTTACTTACTTACTTACGCCTGTTACTCCTCGTGAAGGAGCATATGCCGCTCACCAGCATTCTCCATCCAACCCTGTCCTGGGCAATCCTTTCCAGCTCCGTCCAGTTGTAATTCATCGTTTTCATATCTGCTTCTGTTATTCGACACAATGTGTTCTTTGGCCTTCCTCTTTTTCGCTTCCCTTCAGGATTCCAAATTAGGGCTTGCCTCGTGATGCAGTTTGATGATTTGCGTAATGTATGTCCTATCCATTTCCATCGTCTTTTCCTAATTTCTTCTTCAGCTGGAAGCTGATTTGTTCTCTCCCACAAGAGGCTGTTGGTGATGGTATCCGGCCAATGGATGTTGAGTATCTTGCGTAGACAGCTATTTATAAAGACTTGTACTTTCTTAATTGTGGTTGTGGTAGTTCTACGATTTTCAGCTCCATACAGTAGAACTGCCTTGACGTTCGTATTGAAGATTCTTACTTTGATATTGGTTGAAAGTTGTTTTGAGTTCCATATGTTCTTCAATTGTAGGAATGCGACCCTTGCTTTGCCAATCCTTGCCTTTACGTCTGCATCTGGACCTCCTTGCTCATCGATTATGCTTCCCAGGTATGTGAAGGACTCTACATCTTCCAGAGTTTCGCCATCAAAAGTGATTGGATTGCTGTTCTCCTCTTTGAATTTGAGGACCTTGGTTTTCCCTTTTTGTATGCTGAGGCCTACTGATGCAGAGACTGCTGCCACACTTGCTGTCTTCATCTGCATCTGTTCGTGTGTACGTGATAGGAGGGCTAGGCCATCTGCGAAGTTCAAATCGTCTAATTGATTCTGAGCTGTCCATTGTATTCTGTGTTTTCCTTCAGATGTTGGGGTCCTCATAATCCTGTCGACCACCAGAAGAAAGAGGGAGGGAGAGAGTAAACAGCCTTGTCTGACTCCGGTCCTTACTTGGAATGCATCTGTCAGCTGTCCTCCATGCACTACTTTGCACTGTAGTCCGTCGTATGAGTTCCGGATAATATTGACAATCTTCTCAGGAACTCCGTAGTGTCGAAGAAGTTTCCATAATGTCCTCCTATCTACACTGTCGAATGCCTTTTCATAATCAATGAAGTTGATGTATAGTGACGAGTTCCACTCAACTGATTGTTCGACGATGATCCGTAGTGTTGCAATTTGGTCTGTGCACGACCGATCCTTACGGAATCCAGCTTGTTGATCTCGAAGTTGGGCGTCCACTACATCCTTCATCTGGTTCAGCAACACTCTGTTGAAGACTTTCCCTAGTATTGATAGTAGTGTAATGCCTCTGTAGTATTCACATTTGTCCAGATCTCATTTCTTTGGAATCTTGATGAGGTGTCCTTCTTTCCAGTCCATCGGCACTTGTTCCTCATCCCAAATCTTTTTAAATAGAAGATAAAGCATGTTTGTAGTTACTTCGATGTCTGATTTCAGTGCTTCAGCTGGTATGTTGTCGGGTCCTGCTGCTTTCCCTCTCTTGATTTGTCTGACGGCCATTCTAATTTCTTCCGTCGTTGGTGGGTTGACATCTATAGGAAGATCTATGTGTGCTGCTTCGATGTTCGGTGGATTCATTGGAGCCGGCCTATTCAGGAGTTCCTCGAAGTATTCTACCCATCTGTTACGCTGTTGTTGAATTTCGGTGATTTTCCTGCCTTCTTTGTCTTTCTTCGTTGTATCGTAAAGCTGTTTCATATTTCCTTCTCTAGCAGCTATTTCTGCCGTCGTTGCTAGTTCTTCAACGTATTTCTTCTTGTCGGCTCTAATGCTCCTCTTCACTTGTTTGTTTGCTTCTATGTATTCAGCTTGTGCTTTAACTTTCTCTGCTCGTGTTCGGCTGTTGTTTATTACTGCCTTCTTGTTCTTCCTTTCTTTGATCTTGTCCAGTGTTTCTGTAGAGATCCATTCCTTATGATGGTATTTCTTTAGACCGAGAACCTCTTGACACGTTGAAGTTAATGCTTCCTTGATGCCTTTCCAGTTGTCCTCCATAGTAGTTTCTTCTTCTTTCAGTAGATCTTGTAAGACTTGGAACCTGTTGTTGAGAGCTATCTTGAATTCATTGAGTTTGTCAGTATCTCGAAGGAAGGTTGTATTGAACCTTTGTATTGCTGTTTGTCCACTTGTCCAGTTCTTTTTTTAGCTTCAGTTTTAAATTGGCTACAACTAGGTGGTGATCTGAAGCTACGTCAGCACCTCTCCTGGTTCTCACATCTTCCATTGTCCTTCGGAATTTTTTGTTGATGCAAATATGATCTATTTGGTTCTCTGTAGTGTGGTCCGGTGAGATCCATGTAGCCTTGTGTATACGCTTGTGTGGAAATATTGTGCCTCCTATGACCAATTTGTTGAATGCACATAGATTTGCAAATCTTTCTCCATTTTCGTTTCTTTCTCCCAGTCCATGTCGTGCCATAATATCTTCATATCCAGTGTTGTCTATTCCGATTTTGGCATTTAGATCTCCCATCAGAATAGTTAGGTCCTTTCTTGGGCATTTCTCAATGATTGACTGTAGCCGCTCGTAGAACTGATCTTTATTGTCGTCGTTGCTATCATTGGTGGGTGCATAACATTGGATAATATTCATTAAGATCCGCTCCTTCTTTGTTTTGAATGATGCTTTGATGATTCTGGATTCGTGAGATTCCTATCCTACAAGTGCATTTCGTGCTACTTTGGACAGCATAAGAGCGACTCCCTGAGTGTGTGGAGCATTGTCCTCTTCGTGACCGAAGTATAGCAGCATCTCTCCCGTAGCTAGCCTTTTCTGTCCAGCTTGGGTCCAGTGGGTTTCGCTGATTCCCAGTACTGCTAAGTTGTATCTCCTCATTTCCATTGATATTTGACTGGTCTTCCCGGTTTCCCACATTGTTCGAACGTTCCATGTACCTATAAAAATTTTTGCTCTGGTTGTTAGAAGGGGCATCGGCCTCGTGGCTTCCGAAGGAACTCGGCTTTCACCATGAAGCGTCATAATTCTTCCAAATGAAGACCTTCTAACTCCCAGGGCAGAGTTAAAATGGTTTGGATTATTTTTTCTGGTAAGCGTTTTTTTAACGAGTTAGTTTTGTGTGGGATGGGGTGGCTAACCCCATGCCCAACCCTCCTCCTTTACCCGGGCTTGGGACCGGCAGCAACCCTATAAGAGCTACAGGCGGAGTTCAATGTTTGAAAGCCATAGTGAATATTTCAACGATGAAAGTTATGAACATACAGTCCTTAAACTTGCATCCTGCCAAAAACTCATTTGTAGTATTAAATTCTGTTAATATAATCGTCTGTAAACACCAAAAGTATTATGCTTGAAGTTAAATGATTAACTTGCGATTTCATCAGTCTACACATCGTTTCAGTGGTAGGTTAATTCATTGATACAAAAAGTTGACTTCTAATAAAGCATTTTTTATAACATCCTTGATCTTAACTGTCAATGTTTTTATTTGTTTTTTGGTATTTACAGTTAAACGGAACTGCCTGTGCAATCCCACGTATAATGAAAGCCCTAATAGAGACCCACCAGACTCAAGTACGTGAATTCACTAATTGTTAACTAAGCACAACAACACTTTTAGTCATTAGTAATATTGTGCACAATTTTTGTGTATTATTAATTTATACAACAACAACAAATATTGTTGGGTCAAATTTCATAAGACACTTTTTTTCGACCAAATCAAACAGAAACGATCAACCAGTGAGTTCCAATATGCATAACTCATTCTACCTATTTCATTTTTGGCAGTTGAGTAGTAGTATCATTAATCTTCGTACAAAAATTCTGAACCCGAGGTAAATACATAAACCTTTACTTCGTAAATAAGTTACATCAACTTTATTTAGAATTTGAATCTTACCAATACTTGTCCATCATATATCATATGGTTCAGGACTGATCTGGATTAATATCTTTCATTAAAATTCACATTGGACTGAACTCATCAGCTAAATAGGATGAATTGATCTGTCAATATTTTTTTAATTAACAAATCTAAGAGTTAATTTATTCGCTGATTTCATTTACACTAGAGAAATAAACTATTCCATTTGTCTTATTTTTAGGATAAGCATATTATCGTCCCACATGTTTTACTACCTTATATGAAAATGGGAAATCTTTATCCAGCATTTCAACTTAAACGTGTTCCCAGCCAGAAACTATGAAAACAATTTTTTAAATGTGTAATAATATTTTTATTTACTTATTTCTGTATAAAATTAATACTTTATGAATGTACATTATATAGTTCGTGTGAATGTTAAATTTGTTTTCCCAATAAAAGTACGTCAAATTGACTTGGTGCTTAAGCCACATTTTCTTGGAAACTGTCTTCATCGGTGTCTTCATCGTGAATTGTTGTTAATCGACCTTTACCCCTTGTTCGGCAAGCCTCAAATTCAGGCATTTTCTCTCCAAACGCTTCAAGCTCTTCATGAAGAGACATCATATTCTCTGCTAGATCATTCGACCATACTGAAATAGGCAATTTTTCTATTTCATCCAGTTCATCATACTTTTAAAAAACAACAGTGAATAATGATGTCATTATCTCACAAAACAACAGTATTCATAATTAAAACCTATGTTAATATAATTTTGGTGCGCCACTTATAAATAACGCGGGACTTAACACAAGTATATATGCACCAAAGTTACTGTACATCATAACAGCAAATAATACGAAGTTAACGGAGGAAACTGACAAAATAAATGGGCAGGAAATAGTACAATGTTTAACACTTGAAGAAAGAAAGTCTATATATTTTCATTATGAATTCTCACTTAGCTCCACAATGTTATATCTTAACCTATAGCTCATTTTAACTGGTCTCCGGAAATTAGTTCAATTTGAGGATAACACTCATCACAAATTGATATCGGCTAAAGAATCCCTGGTCAGTCTGTGTTGAAAACTATCTTTAAACCGTAATAGTCCTAGTTGTATTTTACAGTAGCACTTAATATGAGTTGTATTTGATATATGTTCATAACCATCACATACATAAGTACTCATCATAAAACATGGAAGTGTATTTACACAATGAGTATAGAATATAGAAAATTCAATTCATTACTTTTTGCATAGCTTAAAAATCGAACTTTTTTAATTACTGAAAATAAAGTGGGGACACTTACGCACCAATCTCCATAAGATGAGTACTTTTTAATTGTTCGGTCCCGAATAATCGATCTTTCGATTTTCTCTTCACTATCTAATGAAGCGCGCCATTCTGATAGCAGTTTCTTGAGCTTGTTGCTGATATCCACTTTTGTGCGTTCATCGACGCTAATCCATTTAGAGTCATATGTGTTTTTATCGATAGATGTAAGACACTTTTGTCCAGTTGTAAGCGCTTCTTCATAGTTCCCTAATAAAGCATGAACCTAAAAGCAAACAAGTATTAAGAAATAGGATTCAGTCAAAAACAATTATATTACTGATGTAATTTGAAATTCATATCAGTAATGATTTCACACGTAGAAACGTCTTGTCTGCTTTGTGTTAATTATAATTTCGTTGTGATTAGAAATCCGATGACGGCTTACTGATCGTAGCATATGTGATGGGATTTCTCAGGAGACAAACCATCATACTCCTTCTCCCGGATTCCAACCACTTGGTTTTCAACAGATGAATTTTCTTATATACAAATAACTAATAGGACTGATCTAAAAAGAACAAAAGCCGGATATCCAGAACCAAAGGTGTTCATTTCTTCAAACGATAGCACGTGAAAGATGTGCAAGCGACACCTGCAATAATGATTTTACATGCATTTTATAACCAATACTGCATTAAGCATACACATATTCGACAGACTAACTTTGGCTATACGGAACCAAGCCTTTATATAGTTTGGTTCAAGACTGACTGCTCGCTCACAGCATTTGATACATGCAGAAAGGTAATCGAATCGAGACTTCTTTGGATTGACAGTGCATGTTGTCCCAAATTTATACAGGCAGTGGGCTGCGTTCGATAGGCAAATAGCCAATAAATGACGTGGGCTAGGTTTTGACAACTGATAATCTGGCATCGTTGGATCGGTGTAGTTACGGTCAGTCACACTGATGCTTCCCTCTAGGATTCTAATAGCTTTTTTGTAGCAATTGAATGCACGAACCAACAATCCAGTCTGAAATGTAGAAAATTGGCATTGAAACAGTCTTTAAACTTACAGCTCGATAATCTACGAGAACATATCCGACATTTTACTCAGGAATTTTACAAGAACCTTTGTCGTTTCAGCTTGGTCTACAGTACTTTTAGCTGAAACTGTCATCCAAGAAGCTAGTGTAGTCAGATACGAATAATCCGAGTACTTTATAAAAGAAAAACGCAAAACGTATTTTCAACACAACCACTATATAAAATCAGAATTAAACACGATGCTACACAACGTTTACGAAGTACACCTAAGTTTGAAAAATAGGAATGAACAAATGTGTCAAAGCCTTAAGTAAATATAAATGCAAGAAGTACAATATATTAGCAACAACACTTATGAGAACAGTTACAACCTTCTTGTAATTTCAGTGTTATTCTTACATCTTGAAGTCAATGAGAGGTGGTTAAGAAACTCTGACAATTGCACAATGAATCTTAAACATTTACGTGATCACATATTTCCAACATAACCTAACTGAAATGCAAATATATTCATCAGCAAAAAATTTTAATCTGGAGAATTTTGTGTGAGTTTGCAACAGAATCAGGCGTTTAAAACTTCAATGAGATACTATTTCTGTTGCTTTAAACTGTTGTTGATAGCTCCCAATAGAAAACTGAAGTTGACCGGAAAACTAAGGCCTAAAAATAGGAACATTTATGCCTTACTGAAGGTGTAATAGTAATCAGATCTAGATGACAGTTCACTCTAATTCAAGCGTCCGAATTAAGAGAACCTGGGTTTGAAACCACAATCAATGGGTAACATTTAATAAATGGGGTATGCCAACTTGAACCAATGCACATACGTACAGGTTCCACGTTGTGACGGAAGTCACGAGGCCGATGCCCCTTCTAAAAACCAGAGCTAAAATTTTTCTAGGCACATGGAAAGTTCGGAAAAGGTGGGAAACCGGAAGGACCAGTCATATGGTAACGGAAATAAGGAGATACAAATTGCAAGCATTCGGAATCAACGAAACCTATTGGGCCCAAGCTGGATAGCAAAGGCTAGATATGGGAGTGATGCTACTGTACTGCGGTCACGAAGAGGAAAATGCTCTGATGCTGTCCAAAGAAGCACGAAACGCACTTACTGAATGGGAATCTCACGGATCCAGAATCATCAAACCATCCTTCAAAAGAAAGAAGACGGACATCACAATGAATGTTATCCAATGTTGTGCACCCACCAATGATAGCAACGACGACAATAAAGATCAGTTTTACGAGAGGCTGCAATCAATCATAGCGAAGTGCCCAAGAAAGGACCTCACCATTCTGATGGGAGATCTAAACGCCAAACTCGGAATGGACAACACCGGGTATGAAGATATCATGAAACGACATGGACTGGGAGAAGGAAACGAAAATGAGGAGAGATTTGCGAATTCATGTGCACTCAACAAATTGGTTACAGGTGACACAATATTCTCACATCAACGTATACACAAAGCTACATGGGTCTAACCGGACCACACCACGGTGAACCAGAAAGGTCATATTTGCATCAGTAAAAATTCACAAGGACAATGGAGGATGTGAGAATCAGGAAAGGAGCTGACATAGATTCAGATCACCAACTGGTGGTGGCCAAGATTAGACTGAAGCTAAAGAAGCACTGTATAACTGGTGGAACAGCATTACAAAGGTTCAATACAGCCCTCCTTCGAGATACTGACAAACTCAACACATTCGAGTTAGCTCTCAACAACAGGTTCCAAGCCTTACAGGATCTACTGAAGGAAGAAAGTACTATGGAGGACAAGTAGAAAATTATCAAAGAAGCATTAACTTCAACATGTCAGGAGGTTTTAGGCCGCAAGAATCGTCATCATAAGGAATGAATCTCTATCGAAACCCTGGACAAGATTGAAGAAAGGAAGAACAGCAATTAACAACAGACGAACACGAGCAGAGAAAGTTAAAGCACAAGCTAAGTACACAGAAGCAAATAAGTAAGTGAAGAAGAGCATTAGAGCCGACAAGCAGAAATACGTGGAAGACCTAGCAGCGACAGCAGGAAAAGCTTCAACAGAAGGAGAAATGAGATGACTGTATGACACAACGAAGAAACTGGTAGGGAAAATTAATAAACTAGAGAAACCGATCAAGGACAAACAAAGCGAGAAAATCACCGAGAATCGAGAACAGAGGACCAGACGGGTAGAATACATCAAAGAACTGTTGAATAGACCAGCTCCATTGAATCCACCGGACATCGAAGCAACACACACAGACTTTCCTATAGATGTCACTCCATCAACGATCGAATAAATCAGGATGGCCGTCAGATAAATCGAGATTGGGAAAGAAGCGGGACCTGACAATATACCAGCTGAAGCACTGAAGTCAGACATCGAAGTAACTACAAGCATGCGTCACCTTCTACTCAAGAGGATTTGGGAGGAAGAACAAGAGCCGATGCACTGGAAAGAAGGACACCTCATCAAGATTCCAAAGAAAAACGGTCCGAGCAAATGTGAAAACTACAGAGGCATCACACTACTGTCAGTACCAGGAAATATTTTCAACAGAGTGTTGATGAACTGGATGAAAGACTCACTAGACGCCCAATTTCGAGATCAACAGTCTGGATTCCGTAAGGATCGGTGGTGCACAGACCAAATTGCGACACTACGGATCATCGTTGAACAATCAGTTGACTATGAGAAAGCATTCTACAGTATGTATAGGAGGACTTCATGGAAACTTTTTCGACACTATGGTGTATTTGAGAAGATGGTCAATATCATCAGGCATTCATACTACGGACTACATTGCAAATACAACACAGAGAATACTAATCCAATCACACTTGATGGAGAAACTCTCACGTACCTGGACAACATCATCCATGAACAAGGAGAATCAGATACAGATGTGAAGGCGAGGATTGGCAAGGCAAGGACAGCATTCCTACAGCTGAGCAATATATGGAACTCAAAACAACTGTCAACCAATATCAAAGTCAGAATTTCCAATACGAATGTCATGACAGTCCTGCTGTACGGAGCTGAAAATCGTAGAACTACCACAACCATCATCAAGAAGGTACAAGTATTTATAAATAGCTGTCTACGCAATATACGTAACAACCATTGGCCGGATACCATCAGCAACAACCTACTGTGAGAGGGGACAAACCAGTTTCCAACCGAAGAGGAAATTACGGAGAGTCGTTGGAAGTGGATAGAACATGCATTGAGGAAATCACTCAAGTCCTAACTTGGAATCCTGAAGGGAAGCGGAAAAGAGGAAGGCCGAAGAACACACTACGTCGGGAAATGGAGGCAGATATGAAAAGTATAAATAGCAACTGGGAACAACTGGAAAGGGTTGGATGGACGGTGCTGATGAGCGACCTATGCTCGTCCACGATTGGTAACCGGCGTAGGTAAGTCAGTACGTAGGCTTACTGGTTTAATAATGGTAATAATCGTTATTTTGACAAGTTAAGTGACATTATATTCATCACAATTATAGCCATTTTTCATTGTTTTTCTTGAGGTAAAGAGTCTGTTGCAAATATGACTGTGTTATCAACTCAAAAACCTCTGAAACAGCACAAGACCTCAAGACAGGTAGTTAGATCCAAGGTAGAAAGCTCTTAAAGTAAACACAAAAGCTGTGTGAATTTATGTCTCAGTGTGTATGAGACTTTAAGAACCAAAAAACCTTAACGGTTCAAAAATTCAACTAAACGGCGATTGGGTATAGTTTATTACTACGAACATATAACCACATCAATAAACTCGCAAAATGAATCGGAAATCTGAACAATAAAGGTAAATAAGGTTTCTTCTGGGTACGTGAATAAAACAACAGGACTTTCAGAATCATACGGGAGGAAAAACTCTATTTGATATTCTACAAACATAACAGATCTTGAATGATGACGAATCACACCGTACAAACCAAATGACTGAAATAAGCAAACGATCGGGATATCCTACAAATTTGGCAGAAGTAGTAATGTTTAGAAGAAGACTAGGGATGATCAAACCAAGACACAGTACCAATCCATGAAGTCATTGGGCTGAGTCATACTGGCAAGTGGAGACTAACTGGGTTGGGTCTTTGGGATGACCTCGATCAGCAATTGAAAGAGTTGGGTGATATGCCTCAGGATTGATCACTGTGACGAGACTAAATATTATTTCATACTTCCTGTTTATCGAATTCATCCGCTTTCGAGACGTACTCTTCGATTTTAAGTCTCTCTAAACATAAAATGGTGCATAGGATTGATCTGCGCCAGCAGCTGAACTGAAAACAGGAAGTTGAGTACGTCTATCACTTCAATTATCTCGGAAGTCTCATCACCCTCCACAGGTTGATGCTTGACGAAAGCTCTGCATGAATTTAGAAAGCCCAGTTGGTGTTTTCCAACTTACATCACTTGTGACGTGAGTGATTTATCCGTTTGCAAAATAAAAAAACGACTATACTATGCATCGGTTAGTTCCGTACCACTTTATGTCTGTGAAAGGTGGTCTTTAAAAATAGAAGATATACGTAGGTCACTAGTATTCGACCATAAGTGTCCTCGGATCACTGCTCGTATACTTTTTTTGGATCAACGAGTTACTTATTGTGAGGTTAAACGCAGAGCACTAGTTGAGGATGGTAAATCAATTGTCGAGATAGTAAATCTTTATCGACTGAGGTGATTAGGACACGTATTAAGTATATCCACCCACCAACTACCTAGACGAGCTATGATGGCTGGTTTAGAAATAGGTTGGGAGCAAGCTAGGAGCGGCTAAACTAAGGCATGGAATCAGTTTGTAAAGACGCTGACTGTTAGAATGAGTCACAACTAGAAAACGAGACAACCTATTTTTATTTATTAACAGACACTATTAATCAAATTAGTCGGACTAAGGGATACTGACTGCACACCACAGATCTACAAAATACTTAGAGCAGAGTAGAAGCTATAGAGTCCAACATATACTGAAGAGAAACCATTTTTGTTTATTGAGATAGTAGGTGGTTAATGTTTGATAACAAATATCACTCTGCAATCGCAGCACCCGAATCCTTTTATTGACTGAATATAACGAAAAGAAGAGTAACCACTAGATTTCGAGGTTAGTTTACCGAATTCAAAAGTACTTACATTCAGAAGTTTATTACCACGATATTTCATCACATCAGCAACAATAAACTTTTCACTTTCAGACATTTGCCAAAACTCTGCAAGCTACGGATGTTTGAGTGAACATCATTTTATCGACCTACCTTTTTGACATCTTGGAGATATATGTTAAACAATATTTTGTGGAAACATGCATCATCGATTTTCAAAAATGTCTTCTCCAAATCTGTGAAGGTGTAGTCAGATGTAAGAGTCACTTCACACTGTTCCCCACAGCCCATTTCTTGGACTATATTATCCACAACCTTCATAACTCCAAAATCCTCTGCATGCCCCACATCAAAAGTAATATTCTGGTTCTGGAGAATCACTTTGGCATCAACAACAAGTGAGACATCGACAATGACCCGATCGTGTTCACATGGTTTATGGGTTCCAGCACGTAGAATTACTTTAATTTTCTCCTCTGATAGCTAAATAAACAGATAATTATCTTACAATAGAAACGTTTGTTGCTGAACTCTACATGCAAATCAATTCAGTGTTATCGAATATTTTCGACAACAGTAAATGCCAAAATCTGATAGATCGTGAATCCAAATCTTATTTAATTTCAAACGTACTAATCTATTGTCACATTACTTTCACCTTTCAGATGGTATATTTAATACAAAACCAAGTGATTGATACTTAGATATGAATGGTAATCAGTTGTCTGGATTTGGTAGCTACTTTCTATATCTACGAAACAAAAAAGAGCTGACTGCTGAACAGTATGTTAGACATTTGAAATCAAAACTAAAAGGAACCCCTGCCTTATGACCAGCAGATATCGCCCTATTAGGACTATAGAGCTTAGTGTAGACAGTTAGTTCTTGTGAAGCGTATTCTTGTTTAATAATCTTCGATGGAAAATATTCACCCACTAATGTACTACAACAGAAACTTGTGCGTCTATCAGCTGCAGATTAACTTCTCGGTGGTTTTATTTATTTGAACACATAAATATTGGTACAACGGAGCACCGAATACATATGCGCCACACAAGTAAGCCACTTGATTTGTATGTGGGCTGTGATACTGCCTGTGTGCCAGATCGAAGAAGGTGGTTATCTTAAAGGACCACACCCGGAGCCTTTAACCTAAAGGTCTGATCCACAAGGCAGTGGAGCAACGTAAGGAGATGCAGTCCCATGGTAGCCGCTGACCAATAATTGGTTCATACGCCATTTGTTCTCTCAGGATACTGCAGCCCATGTGCACTATCGGTTTGGAATCAGAGATTTCCAACTCCCCTAGGTAGATCCTCTATATCCACCAACCCGGTTAAAGCGCCGGATATCCACTTTTCGTCCTCTCAATTTCGTGAAAAAGCACCCCCGCCGCGAGAAGGTAGTGAGTAGAACTTCTCTTTCAGTGGCTGTATACACGTGGCCATGTGAGAGCATTTCGAGAGGGAGAGCTGACTCTCCCCACCCTCGGCCGTACCAGGGTATATGGGGGCTCGGTGGTGTAAACATCACTGTTACTCGGAATGCTATAACTATCAATGTAAGGTGGTGGTTGGGAGTCAAAGACATTACTACTGAGCTGTTAGAACCGCGACTGACCTCCTGCAGAACTGAGGTGTATTTACAACTGACTGGATAGTGACCAACGTCATGTATGTCAGATCCTTAGTAAAGATCAAGTTATATCGATTAAGTAGCAATGTGCCCACTAGTCTAGGTGACTCGACATCGTGTGCACTATGTTGAGATGTAAGGTGGCGGTTGGATATAGTCGATAGGGTACCCTCGACCTAGGCTCTGTGCAATCGGACGCTCCTCAACAAGATATACCTGTAATCTTGTACGAAATGACGATCTCCGGCTTATACGATGACGATGCCTAACATCAAACAAATATGATTAATTTCAACATAATATAAATCAAACAGTTGTTCCACTTTATAGGCATGCACTAAAATAATTTTTAAAACTAATAACATATTTAAACACAGACCCAAGCTCCCAACATCGAGACATAACGGACAAAATTTCGGGTTAATACTGAGATAGCCCCATTGAAAAGACAGGCGTATTATCAGTTGCAATGTTTATTAGGACAAAATGAATTTTTACAGTAAAGAGACCTTTATGTATATTTACAAATATCAGTTTGGAGACGAGAATAGTGAATAATAAGATTTTTCCGTCGAATTAATATTAATTGGACTCAGTTATGTCTAAAGTATTCTGAAACAAAAATAGAAAATCAAGACGTGAATCAATGATAGCAAGGGATTGTACACGAAGAAAATAAAACCACAGTATGTACTGTGAGTGAATAAGATGACACTGATTCCCAAGTGACAACTACCTTCATACCTGTAACAGCACTAGAGATCCTCTTGTCCACTATCAAGTCTCTTCGTCGGATGAAATTTTTTCAACTCAACCACTAACCCTTCACATATGACTTTATCCCGTGCACTAACTATGCTAACTATCTGAGCCCATAAAATGTTACTCCTGGTCTCTTGACAACAGTCAACTTTCGGACCGTATGTCAAACAAGCCAAAAGACTTACGTAGCTAGTATAGGATTGTAGTATCCAGCACCGTCAATGTGTGCCGTATATCAAGGTGTGGTCACCCACTTGACCTCGGACAGTCAATACGGAGAAACGGGACGATTTGCCCTCCATGTATCTGGGGACTTCGACTACCATCCCTCGTGACCTCATTGGTATAGGTATGGCACGAAGTTCAGAAGCGGAACAGGCTCTCATAGACTGGATTTCATCAGACAATCGCTTGTACACTGTCCGAATCATCGATGTGCATGTCAAATTTAAGAATCAAACAAATACATAATTGTATTGCTAAAAACCCATTGAATTCATTTAAAAATAGCGATGCATGTGAAATAAACAGGTTGAATAAAGAGAAGGTTGAAATTACTTGTCAAAAGGAAATCTGCCAGGTGGTCGCTAGTTGAATACCATCCTTTCTGTTCAGGCTGTTCTTCTTCATTAGTCAGTCATTCAGTCAGCTACAACGTAGGACCAGGCACATATGTGCATCGGTCCAGGTCGCCATACCTCATTAGCACAGCAAGATGAACACCGGATTCATAGGAGTGGTTAGGTCAAAGGTGGTAATATATAGGAGAAAGATTGCATATAAGGATATAGTATAGGAAGAAAGAATTAGTTAGTAGAAGGAAAGATATGAAGCAATTTTAATCTCTTCGTTTAAGGAAAGACAGAGACTGTATACACCTACGCCATCGTGATCGATTCTGAGCCATGTCACCCAGAGTCTCAAACCATTGGTTACGATAGTCACGCGGACCCCAACCAAGTAGTCTGAATCTACCAACATGGCTCAGACTAGAGGTTAGCGACTTCAAGCACTGATGCAACGTTTTGGTTTGGCCGCCCCTTACTTTCTTCCAACCACCCCGAACACCGGTTAGCATTGCACGTCGTGGTAATCGGTGTTCAGGCATACGTAACACGTGGCCCAACCACCTCAGTCGATGAAGATTAACAACCTCATCAACTGATTTACCATCATTATCTTACGAAAAATATGGACCAGGACGATACACTACCGTATCATTCGAATAGGTGAAGTGGGTAAACTCATGGTTGCATTAAAAAAAGAAATTGCAAGAGAACCAAAGAAAATAGAGATCGAGTACGTATAAACCTCCGAGGAATTAGAAGCTATAAAAACGGATCCTGGTTTCTGTCCAGTTCAGTATCCGAGCGTCAATATTTCCACAGACAACTCACCTATCGTTGAGTGAGTATATATGTAGTAAACTATTAGCATTCAATCCTTCCAAGATTGAAATCGTATCACCGCTTAGCCTATTGAATCCACAGTCAAATATAATATAGACTACGTCAAACAAGTAGGCTATATCGATATTTATTTTCTGTACTTGTATTATATTTTTGATGCAGACAAACACCAAGGTGATGTCGTACATGAGCGAATAATCGAACCGACTACATAAGTTGAAGGCGTGTCAAGAAGTAAGCATGGAGCAGATTCTTGAAAAACTGAACTATTGTTGGTTTACATTTTGTCACAGCAACTAACCACTCAATATACATAAGACGGAACAAAAAGAAAGATCGGTATTAGTATTTACCGATTTTGCGGAAGGATTTGTAGTGGATAACAAGCATGGATAACATTGTTGGTCAGATGTTTTGCGTTCTCGACTAGTTATTAATTTGGTGAGAGATATAAGAAAAAAGACGGATCCAGCATACCACCCTTACTTGCATGATGTAAGATATAGGGTACACAAAATTAACCAAAAGTAGTATAAACTATGTGAAATGTTACTTAGTGCACCTGTGGTTGTATTTCAGTCAATAGATTAATGTACGGTCAGTCAGCTACAACGTAGGACCAGGCACATATATGCGTCGGTCCAAGTTGCCATACCTCATTAACACAATAAGATGAACACCGGATTCAAAACCACTTAAGTGGTTAATTCAGTGGTGGTAATATATAAAACAAAGATTGCATATAAGGACATATTACAGGAAGAAAGAATTAGTTCGTAGAAAGATATGAAGCGATTCTAGTTTCATAGCTTAAGGGAAGACAGAGAGTGTATACACCTACGCCATTGTGATCGATTCCGAGCCATGTCACCAAGAGTCTTCAGCCATTGGTTAAGACAGTCAGGCGGACCCCAACCAAGTAATCTGCATCTGCCAACATGGTTCAGACTAGAAGTTAGTGACCTGTCTGGCATGGTAGGGCCTTGAGGAACAATTGTTCCAGGTAGTATATCTCGATTGGTTCATCACGATAGACAAGCCCGACCACCACGTCAATGTAGCAGCAACGATCGGGTATTGCTGTACAAAGTATGCATGACCTGTTCCCACTGTTCAGTTGAACCCTTCAGTAATCGATGAGATTGTAGTTAGTTACGAATCTTACGTTGCACAGAGGTTACTAGAGCTCACGTCAAATTTTAAAACGAATGTACTTTTGGGAATTAACGTCAGTTCATTCATTTATAGTACATATTGTGATCTTATGTTCTGAATGTACATAATCGCTTGAAGGGAATGATTTCCGCCTTGACTTCCTACTTTTATTCATATACCCTATGAGATCCCAACCTCCCTATTATGGGTAGAATTTTATCTGTTTTGACTGAAGCCGCTGTAGAAAATTTTGGGGAAATGGCACAAAACACCCAAAATTTCCCCAGAATCTTATAATACTTAGAGGAAACTTGTTTATATTTTTTCAAAAAACCACAAAATTTCGCGTTTTTTCCCAAT